TAAATGTACTGCAATTTAGGAAATACCGAGTTATCTAAATCAAAATAATTTAATCAATATATGTAAGATGTTGTCTAGGCGGAATAACAACATGGAATGTAGATTGTGGATTTGGTATTACAGCAGACAGAAAACTTCTGAAATACAGAAATAAACAATGAGAAGTTTAGACCACAATGGTAGCAGTCACTGAGCTGAAATAGACAAGGATCTCTTAGAAAGGTTGGCAAAAAACCAACTGGGCACGGTGGCTCCTGCCTGTAATCCCAGCACTTTGGGAGGCAAGGCGGGCGGATCACTTGAGGTCAGGAGTTTGTGACCAGCCTGGCCAACATGTTGAAACCCCCTCTCTACTAAAAATACAAAAATTAGCCAGGTATGGTGGGAGGGGGGCTGTAATCCCAGCTACTCAGGAAGCTGAGGCAGGAGAATTGCTTGAATCCGGACGTGGAGGTTGCAGTGAGCCGAGATCATGCCACTGCACTCCAGCCTGGGCAACAGAGTGAGATTCTATTTCAAAAATAATTTTTTTTTTTAAAAAAAACGGTTGGTAAAAAAACAATATATTGTCACTTAATAGACTCTAGAAGAAGAGAATGTTTCCTGAAGAGGAGAGGATCAGTAGAACCTAATCCCACAAAGAGGTCAAGAATGCACGCCAGTCAATGGCCCTTAGATTTGTTAAGGTGTGGGGGGACACTACTGACTTCAGTAGCTGAAGATTTTTGATGATCAACCCAGGAAGCAAAGTAAGAACATTAAGGATTTTTCAGTGATAAGTATTAATCAAAGACATTTTTAGTAGAAGAAGTAGCACAATGACTGAAGATGGAAATTAGGTGAAATCAGCTTTCAAGCTTTGAAATACAAAGATTTGAGATATGAAGTGCACAAAAGCTGAAGAGAGAAAACAGGAAACTTCAAGAAGCAGAAAGGATTGATCCGGAGAGTAGATTCCTTAGAAGTCTCAGTCTAAAGAATAAAATGATTGATGACGGTTGACAGGAGTTTGCTTTATTTGGGTGCATAATTCAGTTTCTTCTTTCTTGAGTCATAATCACACAAACTTTCTGATACTGGCTGAGCTGAACTGAAATGAGAGCCATCCACCTACTTTGGAAGAATGTGGATGAGTAGATCAACACTACCCCCATCCTCTAAATCTTTATCCTCACACATCATTTTTAGAAGCCACTGTACCCCCAAACCAGATGCCATCAATACTTATCTGTCTCACAATTTTTCCTTTTGACATATTTTCATCATTTGGAGAGAAAACTTTAAAAAGAAAAGAAGAATCATAGCTATTGGCCAATAAATGGCTTGAAATCTTAATAACAAGTTCAAATTAAATTACTAAACTAGTAAGTGAGAACAACATACAATATAATATGCGATTGTCATTTAATTGCCAACACAATTCACAACTTGCTGTTAATTTTTTTTTTAAATTTTAGCATGGGTGGATATAATTAGGGCTGTTAATACATAGCATGCAATTTTCATCTCAGTTGACGTGAGTACTCAGCAAACACTGCGTTCTGGTAATGGACATTTTCAACATCACCTGATTGAACAGAAAATCAGAAGGTACAGAGCACCAAACTGTTGGCAAAATATATTGAAGTAAGCAAAAGATGCTCTTCCCCTTCCTTTCTGTCACCTGTGTTGCTAAGCTGTTATCAATTACTCTGCAGGCCAAGGCAATTTCACCTGAAATTACATACTGGGGAGAGAGGAGAAGGACAACGCAAATGACACGTCCAGAGCAACCATGTTAGAGTCAACTATGAATTAAATTAAGTGTCTTCTGAAATACACAAAATGCTTGCACTTGGCTGATGACAACACAATGTTTATTGTACTTTCGCCCTTTCCCTTGGAGGAAAAAAAATCACTGACATCACATCGCTTCCATGTTATGGATTTTCTGTTATGTTACCATGGAAACCTATCATTTCCTTTCATTATCTCTCTCTCTTTCCCACACAAACACACAAAACAAAAATGGAATTACACATTTATAAACACTTCATCACAAACTCCTCTGGTAACTAGGTCCAGTGAGAAAGAACAGGACTCAATTCTCGCTATGTCAATCACTGGTTTAACCAGAAATCATTCCGCACTTTTCCCTAGTGCAATGTACTGTTTTCCATGATGGGAATTATTTCCGTGGATATAATCAGCATTTGCTAGACTGAGATTCTTTTAAAGTTTGTGCTCTTAGTGTGTAATGACAAGAAGGGCATTTTTTGCTTTCTTTAAGCTACTGGTCTAAATTCCTCCTATAAATTTTGCGACAGGGAATAAGTTGTTAGACTCATACTTTCCATTAATTCAACTTTTGAATAGGTGACATATGAAATATAGTATTTTATTTTTCTTTTGCATAAATAATACATACTGGTTTGTGTTTTTAGGCCCCTTAAATCGTAACCATGCAGTACTACTTTTGCAAAAAGGTCTTTTGATTTTTTAAAATGTCTACTTTAAAATGAATTAATAAAAACAAAAATACAGTAAAAGAGATGATAAGATACCAATTAAACATAATTAAGAGAATCTCCCTAGCAACATAATCACTCCCTCAGCAACTCTAACTAGGCCTCATCCTCCCAGAGCCTTCCTAGCAGATCTCTTCAAGTGAGAGAAGTTCTGTGAAAACAACACTTTCTGATGACTCAGAGGCCCTCACTCACACAATTTAGCACTTGTTTTTCTTATTTTGCTCTTCATGGACCGTTATTTTATATTTTCTTGCTGAGCAAAGAAACCCCCACACAATCAATATAAAGAAAAACTAAGTTTGAAACAAAATTCTTTTGAGGATCTGTGAGAAGGGAAATGAAAGTACGTGAAATATTCAAATTTTCATTTCTAAATAAATGTTAGATGGACGATTTTTAAAACTATGATTTATCAAAAAGATGGGCCATCAGGCAGATATTAGTTTTGCAAATTAATATTTATATGGTCATAACATAATCAGACCTTAAAAGAGCACTTTCTAAAACAGTATGAACTAGAAGATCTCTTTTGTATGGCTGGAAGAATCTACTACAAAATGTTAATGGGATAATTTCTGGTTGTTGGTGTTAATGGCGATATTCTTCTTCTTCATGTTCCTCAGTATTTTCTGAATATTTTAGAATGTGCTTTGTTAGTAATGCTTTTGGCCACAGTAATAGAGAACTCAGTGGTGCCTTAAACAAACATGGGTTTATGTTACTTTTTTATTTATTATTATTATTTTCTATATTTGTTCATATCAAAAAGTCTGCAAATGACAGTTATTAGTATTGTTTAAGCTGCTTAATAATGATCTTCTTATTTCAGTTTTCCCATTCTTAGCTTTGTCACTTTTTCAGTTATCAGTTTTTGGCTTCATGATTTAAAAATGGTTGCCTTGGGAACAAAGATGATGCCTAATTTCAAGGTGGAGAATAGGGCCCATGATAATGTTAGCCACGCCTATTGCATTCAATGCTTCTACCAATGCTCCCTTCAGAGGACTAACTCCCAATCTGATTGTTTTCTTGTGTCTCATTTGTCAGAATTGGATTACAGGGCCATCCAGAGCTGCACGGAGTGTAGAGATAGACTCCCATAATTGGTTTAGATTCATCATAAGCCACCGCCTACACACGATGGGAGCAATGCCATCTTGAACAATATCAGGATGCTATCAGCAGGCAAGAAAGTGAGAATGTGTACTGAAGAGAACGTTAGGCTGAAAAATGCCCTAACCATGCTTTCCCATCATAAACATCTTCATGTCTTAATCTCTGGAACCACAAATGTTACTTTATATGCGAAAATGTGTTTTTGAAGATGTGATTAGGTTTAGGATTTTGAGATGGGGAGAGCATCCTGGATGCTCCAAGGTGGCCCCTAAATGCAATCCATGTATCCTTATAAGAGGGAGGTACTGGGAGATGGCAGATTACATGCACACACACACACACACACACACACACACACACACACACACGAAAATGATGTGAAGACAGAGCAGAGAGAAGATACAGGTCTTGAGGACTGGGGTGATGTGGTCACAGGTGAAGGTCTTCTGGCTGCAGCAGGCAAGGAACACATTTTCCTGTAGAGCCTGCAGAGGGAAGGCAGCACTGCCAATTCTGATTTCAGCTAAGGGACACTGGTTTTGGACTTCTGGCCTCCAGAACGGTGAGAGAATAAATGTCTGTTGTTTTAGGCCACCCAGTTTGTGGTAGCTTGTTATAGCAGCTGTACCACCCCCACCTCCAACCAAAAAAAAAAAACAATAAAACTGATAGGAAACTAATATTTTGTATCTGCTATATAGTTAGTCTCTCTCCACCACACACAACACACAACTTTATAAGGAATATAAATAATACTATATAAGTATATGATACTATAAATAATATAATGCTATATAAATATATAACTTAATACTATATAAACATAACTTGAAAGTAATAATCACTTTTAGATGACATATTTTTAAAATTAAATTATTTGTAAAGCAAAGCAATAACTCTTCCTATATTTCCATTTTCAAGAGAATGATGTATTTTCGGCAACATGTTGCCTCAAATTTGAACATATCTTCCCATGGTTCACAGGTATCTATAACAAATTTCCACTGACTTTTGCAGAAACTACCTGAGTGTTTTCAAAAGCAGATTTGGCTGTACGGTATAAGTGGCTGATATCTTACTGGTTTTCGATTCATCGGTGTTTTTCTATTCAATTACAACTTCAAAATTAGAAAAAGACAAGTTTCAAGTAAAACCAAAACAATTCATGCAAACTGCAAAAGGTATAACAGGAGGAAACTTTTAAGGATTACGTTCAGGAAATGGGGAAAAGATCCTGCTCTCAATTTTCCTAAAGAAACAAGTTAAAATAGTAATAGTATCTCTAACCGGCCATGGAAAATAAATGAGGGCTGACAGAATATTGGTTTTCACTTCAAAGTCAGTTATTAAATTTTTTTTCATTTTTCCCTGCAGAACGCAACACGACATGGGCTATTTTCAGACTCTGAGGTCTCTTTCATCAAAGTCAGTACTGGCTGTGAAGTCCACCTGCTTCCAGTAATTACTGTAAGCACACTCAGTGTCTCCTGATTCAAATGACCTATTTCTTGGTGAAATAAGACATCTCTTAACTTCGACTGTTACATATGCTCTCAACTCTAAATTACTTATTCACAGGAGACAAATGTCCCTAGATCAATTCAAAGCACTGATCTCGCTCAGTGGGTCCATCGAACTCGAATCCCAAGGCACAAGAAGAAAACAATCTGCCAAATATCCGACAGAAATGACCAGATAGATCTGAAAACCAGCCACACGGAAAACTGCAAAACTGTTTTTCTGAAATTTTTATTCAGAGTAACCTAAGAAGGAATTAATTTTGCTTTTTTTAATGTATGAAAGAAACAGACCCTACATTTAGAAAAGTAGGTTGTTTGCTTAATACTTGTAATAGTTTTGTAGCACCAATGAACACTTTTTTTGCTTGGCTTCTGTCCTAAACACATGCATCTGTAAATCTGCTCGGATTTTCAAGCTTCAACATTCAAACAAAATATATCTCAGTCATCAGACATACAAAACAATTACTTAGCTTTACAAATTAATAATTCATATAGAATATAAGCTTGAGGTCCTTATGGCGAAATTATTTCTCCTACTTGATTCGTTTCTGTGTCTGGCATGGTTGGCCTCTCTCTTTTTTTTGAGACTACTTTCTGCCTTAAAATCTGAGTACTTGTCCTCTTTTTTCTCTTCCATTTGCCTCTTGCCTCTTAATTTGCTTCATTTTCTCTTCTGCTGCTGCTGGCTGTTTAAATACTCCTAATTTTCTGCCCTTTCTTTTTATCATCATCCTATACTCCTCTCCCTTCCCTCATCTTTCCTTCCCTTCTCTTCTCTGTTCATCCCATTTCTGGGCTTCTATTTTTATCCCAATTTTCTCCTACAATCTTATTTTCTTTCAGGGTGATTTTATTATCTATAAGGTAATAATTCCACGATTAGTTTCTCTAGTCCTGATTTAAAAAGTGGGGGACAGGGAGGCATGCCCAAATCATTTAATCAAAACTGAAACATGCACGGAGAGATTTGTTATGCACAAGATACTAATTAGGACAAGAAACAGAGTGGAAAAACCTTTGAAAGGTCACACAGTGCCCTCCTTTTCTTCCAGCTAAGGCTTTTCCTAAATCAGCATTCCAGAAGTATTCCAGGGAGCACTCGTTCTGCAAAATGGCTCTTGAAAAGAAGAAGAAAAAAAGGAGTTCTATGGCCAAATTAATTTGGGAAAAACTGCATACCATGTCTCCCTCATGAATTTCAATGAACACTAACATTGTAAAAACTGAAACATCTTAGAAGAGAAGAGATACATTTATTTGCATTTAACCTAACATTACACAAACTCATTTGATTCTGCAACATTTTTAATAAGTCATCTCATCTTCAGAAACATTCCTTTAGCCATTGCAGTAACCTATTAACTATGTTCTTCTTTAAGTATCATCCTTCTCCAATCCACTCGAAACTGCCAGCAGGATCATCCATCTAAAACATTAATCACACCTCATAACTCATCTCCCTAAAATAACCCAGTGACACCAGGCTCTATACAAGATAACATCTGTACTCCTCAGCAGAGCACAGGATTTTCAGTAATTCTATCTTCGGCTTCCTTGCCTTCACTTTTTTTTTTTTTTTTTTTGCCACAAACTACTCCTTAATCCACTCTCCCTCAGGTTACCTAATACTGTAGTCCTCACCAAATTACTTAAAATCTTAAAAATGCCCACTTATACCTGATCCTTTCACTTCTCTCCCCTGATAGACTGTTGCCTACTTTTTCCATAGTTCTTATATGTGCTCCTTTTAAACACATTTTCTCGATCACTTTCCTTTATGTCCAAGTGAGTTAACTGTTTGTTGCCTTGTGTTTCCTCACCACTTTGCAAATATCTCTAGAAACATGAATCCCACTGGATTTATTGCACCTAGGACATTGCAAGCCTGTAGACCTGCACTGTCTAATACTGTAGGATTAGCTACTATGTGACTTCTGAGCACACGAAATGTAATTAGTTTAAACTGACATGATTTTAGCATAAAATACACACTGATTTCAAAAGAAAAAAACAATAAACTTACACCGTTAATAATTTAAAATATTGATTTTATGTCAGAATGATATTTTGGAAATATTTGGTTAAATAAAATATATTCTTAAATTAATTGCACCTGTTTCTTTTTACGTTTTATGCAACTATCAGAAATTTTTAAAATTACATGTGCGGTCACATTTGTGGACCACATTACATTTCTATTAGACTGTTCTAATTGTGCAGTTCTAGAAGGCTTGCACCTTCTCTTATAATTACAGGATCTAGCTATCACTTGAAATCAATACTCAGCAAATGTTTCTTGAATCAATGAAGAAATAAATTAGCAGCAGTGTTTTTACATTGTCTTATAAAATAAAATTCTTGCAGTTTGTTAGCATGACATGAATCCCAGGGGAAAAAAGCCTTCCACGTGAATGATCTCAGTATTTGATGGCTCTAAATGATATCAGCAGCAACAGCAACAATACTCTTTTCTTAGAAAAGAGAAGGGAAGGAAAAGAAAGAAAAGGTCCAAGATCATACCGATCTTTAAAATAAGCCCTATACCATGAACTATTCTAGGTTAGGATGCACGTAAAACGACACCACAGCCTCTACGACTTTCTATGAAATGCATGCTACCAGACTTTGATGAGAGCAGAAAAAAAAAGAAAGAAAACCAAACTCAGTTGTAAGGAAGCTCAAGTTCTCTATCACTTCCAGTCATAAATTTTGTTTTAAGAATCACTTTGAGAGCACAATTCCAGAGAGAAATGCTATAGAAACTCTGGTCTAAGCCTGGACAGAAAATCAAACCCATATGAGGTTCTGTGTTAGTGAAAACTCTCTGTATGACCTTAGGTGAGTTGCCTACTGTCTGTGTCTTAGGATATGCCAGAGTTAAAGCAATAATTCTGAAAACTATAAAGCAATCGAAACAATCTAATGCGGATGATGATGTTCTCAGATATTTTAAGCCATATCCAAATTACTATCAATGAATGTACATGGTAGGATGTTCCTTTACTTCAGCTAAAAATCCAAATGGTGTCTTCATATACAGAAGAAGACTTTATCTACAAAAGATTTAATACACGGCAAAATATTTTGTAAATTATTTCCTCTATTCCTAGGTTTTCTCCATGTATTTTACATTTCTTTTAAAGCCATTTATACTGTTTCCAATTAATGTGAGAAATAAGGAGAGTAAGCTGCTATTTACAATAATTTCACTTGAGTTGAAAAGATAGTTGGCCGGGCATGGTGGCTCATGCCTGTAATCCTAACACTTTGGGAAGCCAAGCCCAGCACATTGCTTGAATTCAGTGGTTCGAGACCAGCTTGGGCAACAGGGTGAAACCCTATCTCTATCAAAAATATAAAATATTAGCCAGGCACGGTGGTGCATCCCTGTGGTCCCAGCTACTTGGGAGGCTCTGGTGGGGAGATCCCTTGAGCCCAGGAGGCAGAGGTTGCATTGAGTTGAGACCGTGCCACTACACTACAGCCTGGGCAGTGAAGTGAGACCCTGTCTCAAGTAAATAAATAAATACAAGATAAGTTGTTTTTCGTTTTTAGCTATTTTCTCTCATGTGGTTTTTGTGGTAACTTATGTATAAACTTTTTCTGAAAAAAAAAAAAAGTTCTTTATTTCCTTAACTGAACAATAAACTTTCCTGAACTTGGTAGAGCATAAGTGACTAGCCACCAAAGACTGCTACTATCATGACTACAAGCATCATGGCTATGGAAACCAAAGATCATATGGAGCTCAGCAAGGGTGAAATTCAAATTTGCCAGTGGCTGGCCCATTAGAAACAAGAGATATATAGTCAAGTATTAATATAGATATTGATAGGTATTAATAATCCTAACATCTTATATTAGGATTAATATTCTCCCAATATTTCTCATACGTTCTCCTAAATTATTATGGTCTAATATGAAGAATGGGGAGAGAGAAAGAAAACTAAAATAAATATTATGGTGATTTATGTTATACATGAAGTTGTTCCATAAAGGGATGATGGAATCCAAAAATCTACTTGTTTTTCACCTAGACTTATATCAATAATATAGTTATAAACTCAGGTTTATCGATTATAAGGACACAAGAAACGATAACATGGACATCATATTCATTTCCTGTGGCTGCTGTAACAAATTTCTACAAACATCGTTGCTTAAAACAACGTGCATTTATTCTGTCACAGTTCTGGAGACAAGAAGTCCAAGATCTGTATCACTGGGTTGAAATCAAGGTGCCAATAAAGATGGACTCTCCCTGGAGGCTCTAGGAGAGAATGCGTTCTTTATCTCTTCTGCCTTCTGTTGGGGGCTGCCATCCCTTGACTTGTGGCCATGTCACTCCGATCTCTTTCTCCGTGGTTGCATTGCTTACTCCTGTTCTGCTGGTAAAATCTCCCTCTAGCTTCCTCTTATAAAGTACTTGTGACTGCATTTAGGGCTGACCTTGATAATGCAGCACAATCTCCCCTCAAGATATTTAACTTGATCCCATCTGCATTGAATTTTTTTCTTTATGAGGTAACATTTACAGGTTCTAAGGAATTGGGACCCTATATCTTTGTGTGGCCATTATTCAACCTACTACAGATAATAAATATTTGAATTCACTTCCCAACTTCCTTGTCAGCAATCAACTTCTGTGAGATTTTGTTCAAAATATATTTCCCAAATGTAAATACCTTGTAAGCATTTTTAACATCTTTTTGAATTTCTAAAACCTTTGTAGTCATGGCCATTCAACCAATATTAACTGAGCACTTACTATAGGTCAAGCGGTGCTAAAAGTATAGAGTTTATAAAAAGATTTATTCAAGTAAAGTGGAATCTTAGTTTGAAAAGTCAATAGCATACATTTCCTAACATTAACTGTCCTGTCAATGCTATAGACTCTGAAAAACGGATCACTGGATAAGGCTTAAAGTAAACACATTTTAAGTTTTAAAAATCATATGATCGGTTTAAGCCTTAATTTAAAGCTAAAAGCCCTGGTCCTCAATTATTTATGTTGTATTTCATAAATACATTACAGAACCACAAACTGAAAGGACTGTGATCCTTTCCTTCTTTTCTCCATAGAAGGCACTTGTTAAATTGTCCATGTGTTCAATTCCCTGGGATATAACAGGTAGTAAAATGAAGTTTCGCTTAGTAAATATTTGTCTAAGGTTGTGGTTAGATGCATATAATTCACTCATGTATTTATCCAGTAAATACGTATTAACTGTCTTTACTACGATAGGCATTTGCCTAGGTGCTTGGCTGACAACGAAGCCGTCAAAGGGCATGGAGGTAAAGGAAGGGAATTGCAGCACAGAGGAACAGACGTTTTACAAGAGGTGTGAGGACCATGTACTAGAGAGAGTAGTCCGGTGACACGGAACTCAGTCTTGGGGGCCGGGGGTGGTTTCTGTGCAGAAGTGCATCAAGCTTAAGCCCGGGACCTGCAGGGATAATCCAGGTAAGGAATCTGAGGAGGAGCCCTCGCAGACTTAAAGATTTTAAAACTTCAAGCACTAGGGCCCAGCTAAGAAGAAGAGGGTTATTGGAACCTGGAAGTACTTAAAAATGGCTGAAACTCAGTGCAGGAGGAAGAGAAATGAACAGCCTTCATTTCATGAAATTCCTGCCAGAAAGGTCATGCCTCATCTTAAAAAGGTTCTTACTCTCTTACGTGAAAACAAGTTTGGAAAGGCAAGATTAGAATAGTAACAATGAGTCAGGAAACTATATGAGCTATGTAGGAGAGAGGGGAAGGTGAAGACTGAAAGTATGTAGAAAACATTTTGCATTAGAGGAAGATTTAGACAAACATCTGTTCAAGATTTGCTCATTGTTCTATATGACGAGAGCCAGTGAGAAGAAGAGTAAAGAATGACAGTAAGATTTCAGGTTTGGACAAAGGGGTGGATAAAAATACAGTTCACAGGGGGAAGGGTATGCTGGTGGTGAGAAGTGGGGAGTGTGATGCTAATTTCAATGTGGCCTTCAAGGCCCCTTGAACCTACTGCCCATGTAGCGCCTCAGCACAGAGATGCTCAAACATGCTGGTGGACAGATACAACTGAATTCCTATACTGTTCTAGGCTGAACATATCACACATTGATGTTTTAAAACTGGGAGGAGTTGGCAGTAATTAAATTCACAAAACTACATTCATCCTGTGTGCAACGTTTGTTACCTATTACTTCAGGATATTGTGTCTGAAGTTTTATTCACTAGACACTTGATTGAATATTCTAAGGAAAATACCTTAATATAAGAATTGTGCCAGTGGGATAGTGCATTCATGATACTAATGATATTGTTTAAAAGTATGCTTTTTCAATTAGTATTAACATCTGGTAAATCTTTACCTTTTAAGATATATTTTGTGGGGTATTTTCTGGAGCTTTTAATAAGAGAGCTAAGTAACATCAGTTTCTGTCAAAACCATATTGTATTCAATGTGCAACTCATGTACAATGTTAATGTAATATTCACACGTATTATGCACAAAGAAAATATTCAACTTCAGAATTTCAGGACTTTTCTGTAATTTTTTTCTACCTTGCTAAGGAATCACTCTACTGGAGGCATTAAATGTACCTTAAATATTGTATTTATGTGGCACAATATGAAGGAAGATGAGCTAGTGAGAAGAATGCATATAGTTCGAAAAATAAAGTTAAATATATGGACAATATTGTCTCCAGGGCATGGGGGTAGAAGAACTCCACAACTAATCTCCCTGCATATCTTCCCCTCCATCTCGTTAATTGACTGTTCTCACCATGAGAGCCACCTCTTGCTTGGATTTTGTGGCTTCCTATTCCTCTATTATCATTTCAGATGTTGCTAGTGAATATAAGAGTGTTGCTTTATATTCTGTGAGAAACAGTTGCTGTTACTTGATTTTGGCGGGAATTGAACTTGAAGAAATAACCTGGTATCTGATAATACACATGGGCATTTTCTGTTTTGTATTTAATTCTCCTGTCATCTTCCAGAGGAAGGCATAAGATAGACATATGAACCACTGTTGAACCACCATGAACATCTGTGGGCT